TTTACAATTTTGCAAAATGGAACAAAGTATGGAAGATATTCATAAAAATTTGCGGCAGATTGCAGGCTTTCGAATGACGTCAAAATCATCAAGATATTCAACAAATCTCGCAGAGCCATCAGCCGCAAAAAGTGGCCGATAATTTCCTCACAACTCATCAAGAAAAAATTCTGTAGAAAATTAGAGAAAATTCAAAAGCTGCAAAGAGATTCGTGTTGCTTTGAAGCCTGCCAAAGGAGTGTTTCTAGCACGCCTAAAAATGCAATCGGCTGGAATGAGACACTCAAGAACTGCTATAAGCACAAGATTTTCTGCTGTAAAGCCGTAGCAGGCAGAAAATGCACGAACCGACAAACAGCAGTCAGGATACCACGTGGCACAATTGCTTACACTGAACCAACTGATCTTCTGGGCTCCGGTGTAGCATACGTAGCCAGTAAACACTGGCGCTGTTTTTGACACTCTCGAAAACCTTGTTAAACAATGAGAGCTATACGACGTGAACGTGGAGGAACGGATAAAAATGCGAGATTCATTCGAAGGCGGTGAACTATCAATCACCAATCGCTTGTGTTCGAAATCTGCAATCAGAGTTCAACACAGCAGATGCGCTCGTAACAGTTTTTGCTGGCATCATTCTGCAGCCATATGAATAACTGTCAGATGAGTCCTCTGATATGAGAGCGAAGTTGCAGCGATTAGCTACCGTATCCCAACAGCACAAACATCCACAATAAATGCACACATCTTTATTCATTATTACATTGCAACCAACCCCTGATCCAAAAATATTGCATGATTTGAAGCAGGATAAATTATGATAAATTTTCACAACTGTAAAAGTAATATGTTAAACCATCAAGCTGGGATCATTATGTTCGAACGTGCGAAACCTGATCGCATATGGCAGTGTTAGTAATGAGTGAAACGAAAAGAGCGAGTTAGTTTTGTAATTTAGAATTCAGCGCATGAAGACGTACTGATAGGAAAACTATAACTGCCGAAATAAGTATGATGATAACGTTGAAGAAACAAACGGTAGACAGGCCGATGTTGCTCATACAGAGAACAGCCTGAAACAGGAAGTTTTCAGCGTGATATCGATTGCTTTTGTTTCTCTTATCGCACTGCTTGAATGTATCGATTTCTTTCTAGTCACAAAGGAAAGCTATCTAATCAGAATAAAGTTTCGTTTGGCAAACAGATAATAGAAATTTCGCGCCAGGCTTTTGAACATTACGATTTCAATAACAGTGATCACTCTTAGATTCAATTTCATAATTTTCATTGAATAAGGCCCCTTCGATGATGATTGTGTTAATACCGTATGCGTTTCTTTTAGAAAGAATCTGGAGATATTTACCCTCACAGAGGGGTGGGGTTTGCGTGATGGGCGGAGCCAGCTAGTGAGGTGAGACCGTTACATGCTAAATTAATATAGGACATGTTTTGATATAGCGAAAACGGTCCATTCACTTTTTTAATTACGTTAGAAAGCCTAGTGACCTAACACAAACTCGAGTGATTCCAGCGGCTCAGAACAACTTCACTAGGATATAAAGAATTTGAACAGCTTTTCTTTATTCTTAAAGGCAAGATTCAGGATTGAATTATGAGGTAATTCCACTCAAATGTGAAAGTAGGGGTAGGTAGTGGACCGCCAGTGCAGAAAAGAGAAAAAAAATCGTGAAATACACAGGAAATACGAGCCTTTTGCTCTACGCTGCGGAGAAGTTCAAAAGGCCGGCAGGGAGATGAGAGATAATGTGAGCGCGGAGAGCGCTAGAGAAGTCCGAGTAGAGAGAGCATAGCAGATCAACATTGCGACGCAGACAAGATATCGAGCGGTGGGCGGAGCGTGTCGCAACAGGTGGAGCGTGTCAAAGTTCTTAGCGCCTAGCGTCTAAGTAACGCTTTTCGAAGTAGGGAAGTGACGCGACCTCTACACTTGCGTACCTAGCGCTTCTAGCCACCGTAAAGGCTCATTAAGTGGGTCTGAGCCCGAACTTTGCCTTTAAACATTCGCAAGGCGAACTGCGGCCAAAGACAGTAGTTAACAAACAAAAACAAGTCAAAATTTGAACAGCGTCAACGATGGCTTCAGAGACAGATGACACAGTGAATTAGATGTTAAAGGAAACGCTCCTAATAAGGGAGGCCGGCTTAGAAGGGAAGGGGTATAACAGTTCCGCGGCAAGGGAGGCGCCAGTGAGGAAGTAATAAGACTAAATGGTCCTTCTAGACGGCTACGTGCCTCTGCCCGTTTCCGATGGCTGATTATCCCTAGCCGCTGTCGGGCTCAGGCCTTTTTAGAAGAGAAGCAGAGCAGTGAGTTCAAGTTGACGTCAGTATTGATGAGGCTTGCTCAACGCGGAAATCAACAGGGAATGCAAGGGACCCAATTTGCGAGCTCTGGGACGTTTCCTTGGTTTTTCCTCACTGCACTTTCTTCGCTGCACATCTTAGCGTTCTCGCTTCATCCCTAACGAGAGACCAAATCATCGAAGCATCTGCCTTTGAACACGCTAATGGCTTTCCCAACACTAACGCCTTCTTACCTGTCTGACGTCAAAGTTCATCTGAATCCAGTTCAATTTCACTATGTCATCATGTGGAATTATAAAGTCGCTGTCTTCATCGGCTGAAATGTTTGGATATTGATTGATAAATGAATCACTCTTTTTCAAATTCGATATAAAAGATCGATTGCAGCATCAATCTTCATACAACAACAAATCTTGTGATACATTTTAGTTCCTCCTTTGACGCAATAGCAGGAAGTGTTTGATGTGATCGACGGCGACGTGGTGGATCAGGACATGTCGGTACCTAAAGAGGAACTGTTTTGAACAAAATGTTATTGTACACAAATTCATTTTTGACATGCGTTATTTGAATTTTATGGTACAGCGTTACGTCAAAACAAAACTACCATAAACTCGTTTTCACAGTAGTAAAGTCATCTCGGCAATTACAACACCATGTAGTGCCATTCTTGGCTTACCGTCAATTAAACAAGTTCGAAGCCGCGATCGGTGATCCTGAACGTGACTAATGAGCACGAACCCGTACGTCTGCCCACATCCGACAAACGTGATAGGAACAGGTATTAGGGCTCGACATAGCAGTACATCTCAAATTTTTGATAAACATTCAAAGTAGTCAAGGCATATTCTCGGAAGAATCCTTGTTCTACTGGTGAGGTGACTGAGTGTTACTCAGTGGAGCGCTGCTTTTTCAAATTTTAGCACTTATCCAAAGATGGTGATACTCAATACTGGAGTGGTGGTGTTGATTAACCCCAGTTCATTGCGCCACAATTAGAACTCCATTCAGAATCGTAAAGAAGTTATCACATGATTTTAATCTTTCAGTTGTCCTAACAGCGGCTTCAGAAGTAAGTAGATGTGTAGCAGATGTTTGCCATTCACTGGGAGAAACTCTCCATAAGCTAGACGATTCTGAAGAGCTAAAAGTTGTTGACCTGTGAGAGTTCAGATTCTCGAGTTAATACACAGGCCTCAGGGCAATACGGTAATTCCACTCATTGCAGAAAATAATGTGAAAAGCCCTAGCTCTTCTACGTGTCCTGGAAACCTTTCACTTATGTGTAGACTCTTCCACCACAGAAGACATTCGCGCAAAGATGGTTTCGGAGATAAACACCGAAAGCAAAAGTGTCACGCTGCGCAAAACTGAGGCTAAACTTAGAAGAAGAAGCCGTGAAGCATTCAGAGATCTATTCCGGAGTTGTACCCTAACACCATTCTTTTCTCAAACCAAAAACTGATTACTAAGGTTGCAAGGGTGCTACCTTATAAGCGATGCATATCACATCAACCGAGACTCAAAACTGGACCGACGGTTTCTTGGTAGGGCCATATGATTAGCTTTTACACCGCATTGACACTGTAGTTTCCCTTGGCTTTATGAGAATTATTGCTGCTACTCAGTTCCTTCAGCAAGGTCGCCCTTCACTATCTTTTTGTTTGAAAGATGTACTGGATTTGTCTCGAAATTCCCCATGAGTGTAGATTTTGCTAGGATATAGCTCAAGGGTGTTGTTCTACCCATACCACACAATATAACGTTACAGGCACGGGTCTCAAAACCCTTGGACCAACAATTTCAATGAAAAATTGTACAGTGGGTAGTCCGTACTCTTCAAGCACGAATACCGGTTTAAAATGGAACGATAGTGCTGTGGCGGCGCAGGTAGCGTCAGCGCCTCTGACGCCGCGTCAAGCGCTCTTGCACCAAACGAATGTAGCGCGTGTTCTTCAACTCGAATACTCCTAATCATTAATTGTGAGTAAAATCATCACAGGCGGGCAGGTAGATTCCGGGATAAAACCATTGGAAAAAAAAACTAGAACCAAAAAAAAGTCAAACTAAAAAGGAAAGTGGTGCAGTGAAATACAGTAACGGTCAAAAGTGTTCTGCGGAACGTTTTCTTTGCATTTCTCTCTTACTTCCAGAGAGACTCGAAGACTAACTGAGGATTCATTATTAAAAACATACCAAGAGTCAAGGATTCGAAAATGCTCGAGGTAAAACCTATCAACATCAGCTGAGAAAAATTAATATCCCCTCGCTTTCAAAAAAAAAACGAGAGAGTGTCGGGTGCAGACCATACACCACAAGTGACGACGGCCTCCAAGTAAATCTGGTTAGTAGTGGTTCATAGTGATAGCTGATTTTTGGTAAATGATAGTTGTAATTAGTGACAACTGATAGAATACAACTGCAACAGGCTAATCATTTCATTGGCAGAAAACATTTACATTTTGTGGAGGCCGTCGTCACTTGTGGTGTGTGGTCTGCACTCCGACGCTCTTCTCGTTTTTTGAAAGGGTATACAATAAACTGTTTCGGCGTTCACTTTTCTATCAGTACTTGCTGTTTTCATTACGGACTCCTCCTCTAATCAATTCAAAATTGAAATTGAGAGGAGTCCAATTTTTTTGTCCAACGACTTTGAAATAGTGAAACGTACCTCACAAAATTCCAACCCGGGTTCCTTGATACGCAACGTAATCTGGCAATCGAAATACATATTGTCTCGGTCAGCATACTTGTACACGTGAGCCTCTCGTCCAGCCATGAGATCTTCTGGGTACTCCAGGTTTGTCAGCAAGTACTTGTCCAGTGCACAACTGGAATGGAACTGGTGGCAAAAAATCAGTGACTGTTTCGCCTCAAAGGGTCGACAATGTGCCAAATGTCTTACTAGACGGCTAATTCTGAACACGAGTCGTCGGGGGTTACATACCCGTAGAAAAAGAACTGGAGGCAAAAACACAGGTAGATAAGAATTACCCTTTCTCATTGATGAGTTGTACTCGTTCCCCATTACCATCGTCGACGAAGCACGAGTGTACAATCATACAGAACGTATCGGCCTGTTCAGCTTCACAGGTCCATTTGTGATAGACCTGAATTAGATACCTTTATATTCACACTGCTCCGGAATACTTACTCTAACCCTCTACTTGTAAAGTTAATTTAGTCGCAATACTCTTTGTGGTGGCTCTGATGGCGCAGCTAGGGCACGGAATACCTGTGATTGGTGCTAACCCATGCTGACCAATCACAAGCCCTCCCTTGCGTGGAGTATGCGCTGAACGCAACGCTCACAAAAAACAACGCTTCTGGATTTGGTTCCAGCAGAGCCTTTGGAAGTACAAGGCTCTTTATTTGCCATACCATTTGTCCAACGGTTGCGTAATACACCGGCTTTCCGACAGGAGAACCATCCAGAACCTCATATTTGCAAACCGGCATTGGCACTTGCTTTGTGTGGAGTGTTGGTGGCGGCATTCTGAAAATCAATGCTAGACTGAAAAAAATGGAATTTAAGAATAACGCTAACTTGACGAGAATTTCCTTCTCGAGACGTCGTTCCATTTCCATGTAGAAGCATTGTACCCGATAAATTCGATCGACTTTGGTGAGATAATCGAGATTGAACGCGATTATAACTGACGTCGATAGGAACACACCTCTCGGTGAAGTCTGAAAGAGTAACTTGTCAGTTTCGGGGATCAACTGCCAATTCCAACCAGGGCCACTTGACTACACAGCAATAAGTTCCTGCTAGGCCTATCCTAGGAATCCCGATTTTTCAAGATATCTCATGCAATACATAAATTCTCCTGATACCATAATACATTTTCGGAGCATTTTTCATGACATTTTGGGCTAAGCAGTCAAACTGCTTTCCGATGATGATTTCGAGTAGGTGAAAGAAACAGCTGGTGGGAAAGAAGAGCCGCATTTCTTGATTTCTCCATTGTTTAGCTAATGAGCGGTTTCGTCAACATATCGGTGGGCGATGGCGATGTTTGTGTGGTCCATCGGGCGTTGTTCTGTCGATGGACGCGTTCTTGAGTCCAACTGGCCTCTTTGATCAGCTATAAAAGAACTCACGAGCCGGAATCATTGCGAGGACCATGCGACACACTACGGCGCTAATGATGCTCCTCACATTTCTTCCAGTAAACTATTGGAACAGTTTTCTAATCACAAGTTTGAACTGTTGCGTACCTGATCAGTAACTAAAACCTTACAATGAATTCAATGAAAGTAATTTTTCGAAGTTTTGAAATGTATTTCCAACGACCACGTAAAAACTCACAAACTGCCGTGTTTAGAACCGCAAACTGATGGACCAAAAATTCTTGGGAACTTTGTTGTCCAACTTAATCAACACTTCCGAGCGAAATGTGATGGTTTTCAAGAATGTTTGTCCATTTTCTTTGCATTTCCTGCTTCCTTTTAGTTCTTACCTACTTTTTTCCACCGGTCATTTTCGTGTTTGAATATTAAAATGTACAGCGGAAATTCGATTTTATTTGTAATATTTCAGGATGAAGTCAATATTACTAGTAGTCGCTTCGCTTTGCGTCGTCTCCACTCTTGGACAAGATTGGGGTGGAATGGGTGGAGGTGATGGCGGCATGGGAGGAGGAGGATGGGGATATGGTAAGAATTATGAACAGGAGTAATTAGTACAACTGTTAAATCTCTAACTCACAAATGAGATCTGAAATTTGATTTTTTCTTTCTGAAATCCCCTGCCGAAAGTGGCACTCCTCAGAGAGGAGCCCTGATAGTAGTTTAATCTTCTTCAGGAAAAGGTTTTTGCATATTCACTGTTTTGTTGTTCCATCGAAGATATGAAACTTTAGGCGGAAACGGAGGCGATTTTGGCGGTGGTTATGGAAACGGTGGCGATATGGGAGGAGGCTACGGTAAGTTCGGCTGTTGAACGCCAGAAATGTATAATATAATAATAATCATCGTGATTAAATATAATGAAATAAGTAGTTGTAAATGATTGTTTGTACTTCAGGTGGCTATGGAGGAGATGGTGGAGGTATGAACGGAGGATACGGTGGTGGATATGGAGGCGACGGTGGCGGCTATGGAGGTGGTGATATGGGTGGTGAGTGAATTATTTTGCTATGCTTTTTTTCTGGAAATCTACTGTCGCGTCAAATATTTATCTGCGAGTCAATCCTGGTCTTCGAATATTGGATTCTTTTTTATTCTTAGCTTACTGTGCTGTTCGCCCCAAGCTCTAAACGTGCACAACGACTTGCTCCATTCCCGTAGCGTTTTGATGCTGTGCACAGTACTTGTTGTAGTTCCGATTAGCCTTCCATTGGAAGGACACCTTCCAGCCCTTTAAACCATGCTGGCTGCTAGCTACAGAATGTTCAGTGAAGCCCAGGGTGGGCAAAGGGTTCTACGCTAGGCTGTACTGAATCCTGTTTCACCTCATCCTGCCATATTCTGCACCAACGCATGCCCTTGAGAAGTTCCCTCCTCGAAATTCAGGTTGTAATTGAGAGCCGTTGTCAACGCAAGGGTGTGCCCCTGCAGCCGTAGTGCGTAGTCGAAGAAAGGGCGTTGGTGAGGAAGTTTAGCTTAGTTCCGCCTCCCAACTTCAGTTATAGATTAAGAGCCCTTGTCCCATATTTATGGTATTCAAAAGGTTAGTATTGCGGCGTAAAGAGAGCTACTGATAGCAGTGACTTTTCGGTCAGCTACGAAAGCAACAGTAGACCAGGAAACCGGAGATCGGTACGCTACGCCAACTGTCTGATTCGACGCCCATAACACAAACAACAAACACTTTCCAATGTCTCTGCCAAGATTATTTTCAAGATCATATTCCCGTAGCGCTATCTAAGTTCATTGGTGCAGAAAGCCTTTGTTGCAAATTGAGATTTCAGGTTATGGAGGCGGCGGATACGGCGGCGACGGAGGCATGGGCGGTGGATTCGGAGGATACGGAGGAATGGGTGGAATGGGCGGTATGGGTGGATTTGGTGGAGGATACGGCGGCAATCAAGGTGGTTTTCCCTTTCTAGACAGTGAATTTTGTAAAATACGGAAAATTAATTTTTCTATACATTGATTTACGAAGATATAGTAAATTCGTAGGTTTCGAAAAACTCTTACTAATTTCAACGCAAATTGAATTGCTGAGTGTAGTGGGCGATACTAGAAGAGGATGGAGGATTCTGAGCATAATTTCGCAAGTGGTTCATATGCACTCCCCCGTCCTTCCACCCATTGAGGATTGCACGAATGTGACCACCTCAGACCTAAGCTACCGTTCTCATGACCTGAATCCTGTCGCATGTCAAAATTTAGGGTCAAACGTCATTCATATAATTAGCGTTTGCAGGTGGAGGACAACCAGATCAGTTCGGCGGTGCCGGTGGTTTCGGAGGACAACCGTATATGGGCGGCATGAACGGCATGGGGTATCCACAGTGATGCAAGGACAGAAATGTGTACATAAAATATAGTGTAAATATTAATTAAAGCTCAATTTGAATAAACTTCAGTTGTGAACACATTCAAATAAACGAATGTTCCGATGTTTTTCTGTGTGTTATTGCTTTTGGTCGTCGTAAATGCTCAGCTCCATAAGCACACAAAAATAGCAGACCGTTCAAACTGGTACCAAATTATTAAAAAATGAGGAGTTCAATAATAAAGGATAAAAAGGATAAAACATTCGCCGCTAATCAATCCCTTTTTAGGATGCGGCACGCACAGGACCCAGAATTCGATCCCTGCACCGCGCGCGTGGTAAGGCCACTTGCCACTATATCACTGCCGCTTCAAGTTCAATAATATATTTCATAAATGTTTCTTGAGAATTGCGTAACACGGTATGTTCCCTGATTCCTACGCTACGCCTTCGTAAGCTCGTAAATTGGGTGTCTCAACAGCCCATCCACCACGTACGCCTCCTTTGTGTTTTGAGTAGGATTTGGGTAACTCAACCCGAAGAAATACTCAACCTTCCTGACCATTTTTCGTCCTCTGGCTGCCACTGATAGCAAGAAGACCGCAAGGGTACGCCATGGCATTGGAAAATAGGGTAAATATTCCCTAATAACTAATGGGAACCTATCGACAACCTCAGATGCCTCTTAAGATTCCTTTGCCGAAAATGCCGACCTCCCCTTCTCCTCAACGCGGAAGAACACAATCACGATAGATTTAGCCTATAGCTGAAGCTATTGCTCAAAATATCCTCGCTAATATAAAAAATAAAATCAATAATAAAAAATAAAACATTGTAATAATAACATATAATAGTAAACAAATGTGATATTAAAAGCGTTTTACAAACAGTGATTCAAAGGACAATGTGACACAAATTGTTACATTTTCCTTTGAATCATTCGGGATTCATTCATTCGAATCATAACAGAATTCCATAAATTGTTATTGAAACAATGAAAAATCCCACTCTAGCTAATCATTCAGGTACTTTAAAGGACGCCGATCAATATTTTCATTTGAAGAATACTTCTGAGTCTATATAAACGTGATTTCATGTGAACACTTTTCAGAAGAAACGAATTATGGGATTTGCTCAAAGTCTAAGTTCTCATCTCTTAGCGCTCATCATTTCATGAAGCTCACCGATGTACGTCGTTCCACTCCACATTCCTTGAATGCTAATCGTAGACTGGCGTTTTGATGGCCACTTGGACTCGCTGGAGGGCTGCGACAATGAGGATCATCAAGACGATCCTGTACGAACACCAGACCACGAAATGGATTTCGCGTCTCGAATCGGACCTGAACATCTAACAGCTGACTATTTGCTTAGAAAGAATAATTATTGGTTTTTCTGAGAGCTTTCCAATCATGAACATATGGACAAACATATGGACATCTTTTTTTAACATTATTGAACAGCCCCGGGTGTTTGAAAGCAGCCTAAGTATGCAGAAAGCACTGATACTTGACAATTCAACCCGAAATTTGCCGATAAACTTTTGGTGTTTTGAGATTGATCGTTAATATCTCGCAAATTTGCAATATCATAAGATAAATAAACATGGCAAAAGGGAACTTCTTCCGCTTAGTAAACATTCTTCAATAGTGAGGTCACCTTTTGATATTGTACTCCTTACAAGGGAGGTCTTTCAGGGTGTGCCAAGCTTTTTCAAAACGGTCTTTTGCATGATATAGGGGCACATGCGGGAACCACAGAACCATGGTTAATTTTTCCTGAACGGCCCTCTGAATACCAGAAAAGGGGGTCCCTAGTCACACCTTTTTCACCAGTTTTTCAATCAAAGTCTATTTGTAAGGGTTACTGACGGTCCTAATCATGAATATGGTACTAATTATTCATGCTAACTCCATTTTGCGCGAATTTTGAAACGTCAACTCGAAATGCAAAAATTTGTCACCACGAGGAATCGAACTAGGGACCCCTTTTCTGGTATTCAGAGGGCCGTTCAGGAAAAATGAACCATGCTTCTGTGGTCCCCATATGTGCCCCATGTCATGCAAGAAACCATTTTGAAAAAGCTTGGCACACCCTGAACGACCTCCCTTGTTAGACTTTCCATGGGTAGTAGCTTCCAGCGCCTCCTTTCAATGAATCCTATTTAATCCTTTACTCTAGCAGCAACCAGTGCTTTGCTTTCAGAAGTTTGAAATTAGCATAGGATAAAATGCGCACCTCAAAATAGCTGTCAGCACAGTCAACTAGCGGATCACCAACGATTCCATTGTCCTGCTGTGCAATGGTAGGGAGCTGAAGACAAAATCGGTCACTTGTTTGACAGGAAACAGTTCCTGGTTTAAAACATGTTTCAAAAAACAAACACTTCTCAAATCAACTTACCACGAAACTTAGAGATAATGCTATCCACAATAGAGGAGAACGCATCTCCTCAAATGTTGCACTCTAAATGAGAAAAAACCTCAGTGAATTATGGGATTGCCCTATCTGAGGTGTAAACAGAATCGCCAAAATGCTTAAAGTAGTAACGATGACAGAACCACGGAAAGGGAGGAGCTGCTAGTTGGAGGCAATTGAAGACAACTCTCGATGCATAAATGTGAGCGATCATGGGACAAATACAAAGGCCTAAACAAGACTTCAACTGATGGTAGGGTCTTAGCACAGCTGAAGGAGAAGGTCGGAAAACTCAGACTTCTATACATGCATGACAAGCTAAATTTGACTTTTGACCGCCGGAAATGGCCAAAGTGACAACATTTTCAGAAGACTCTGTGGATGTACCAACAGAACCAAAGAGTTCAGGAAAATGTCAAGAATAAGAATGGATTCCAGAGCTCCGTACATGGTGTTACTCTGACGTTTAGGCATATTAGTACATAAAATACCCGAAAAAGAAATGTAAAGAAGTCCTACTAGAAGTCCTACCTAAGTCGAAAATAGCAAGATCAAAATGGCAGTTCCCTATTAAGCTATCCATTGAGGTAATTGTTGAAGTTAGTGCCTCCGCCCACTCCCCAATGGAAGGGGTACCGCTGGAAACAGGAACGATTAGACGGCTTGACCTTCTCGTCCGAGTGACCATACGCGTCAGAAACTGGATCTTATCCAAGTGTAGGGCTTCCCTTCCTACATTACACCTTGGTTTAGAGCAGCGATAGTGACAGACAAGGAGCGAACTCCCACCCACCGTGTGCTGATCCCTGCAAGAGCTGAATTTTCTAGGCAGAGATCGGTCTATGACAGTACAGCTTGTGGCTACTACTAATTTCCCTTTGCCTAGCATATCAAATCACTAACTCACTGCGTACCACGTGGTGCACCATGTACATCACAGCGCCTCATGGGGCAGAATCGTTCGACTCGATTTACTCGGCATTTTTTAAAGCTCCAAAGAAGCCAGTTTACTTTTTCGGATGAAGAAAATATTTTGTATTATAGCGCTGATAAAATTAGTGAAGGATTAATTGACTACTGCTAAAAAACTTTGACTGTGACAAAAACGAGGATGTGCAAGTAAAGGCGGTTCCGATGAGTTGTTAACCAGCTCAGATAGCGGAATTTAAACGAACTAAATAAATATTACTATTGAGAAGCGTTTTGGAATCTCTTGAGGACTTTTGATGTAAGATTTATTGGTTAGCTTTCGCTGTGATAACAGCTTTTCAGACCTACACGAAACGTCAAGCATATTACAAAACTTCGACTCTAGAACGACATGCAACAAAACTGGCGAAGATTATGAATACTAATAACTTCGTACAGCTTAGAGGCTACGCAGTTTATGCATCCATAAACTACCCTAAAATCCCATAGATAAGAGCGGTCCATAGATATTTTTTCAAAAATAAAATAAAAATAAAAATATTTTTTCAAAATCATTTTTTACCGGTAAATTAAACCGCTCTTATCTATGGAATTTTACTGATCGAATGGGCTCTTCAAGTTCTATCCAGAGATCAAATTCCGGCATTTCTAGAGAGATTCCGGCAGAAATTCCGTTAAAATCGCTATTTTTCTATATGAATTGTTTATTAAGTGGGCGGGGTTTAGAGTTGAGGGACGGAGCTTCTTCTAAACTTCTTCTCCGATTTTTATTTATCCATCCATCAAGTTAGAGGGGTGACTGCATTCAATTTCAATTTCATTCCAATTCATTTTTCACCGGTAAATTAAACCGCTCTTATCTATGGGATTTTAGGGTACTTGAAAACTGTTGAGTCATCACCACATTGCGAGTCCCTTGTTCGCAAAAAATGAATCTATTCGCTTGAAATGCGCCATGCATGCTGTAGATATTCAGTAGATGTACATAATAAATACTTACTATTGAGAAGCGTTTTGGAATCTCTTGAGGACTTTTGATGTAAGATTTATTGGTTAGCTTTCGCTGTGATAACAGCTTTTCAGACCTACACGAAACGTCAAGCATATTACAAAACTTCGACTCTAGAACGACATGCAACAAAACTGGCGAAGATTATGAATACTAATAACTTCGTACAGCTTAGAGGCTACGCAGTTTATGCATCCATAAACTACCCTAAAATCCCATAGATAAGAGCGGTCCATAGATATTTTTTCAAAAATAAAATAAAAATAAAAATATTTTTTCAAAATCATTTTTTACCGGTAAATTAAACCGCTCTTATCTATGGAATTTTACTGATCGAATGGGCTCTTCAAGTTCTATCCAGAGATCAAATTCCGGCATTTCTAGAGAGATTCCGGCAGAAATTCCGTTAAAATCGCTATTTTTCTATATGAATTGTTTATTAAGTGGGCGGGGTTTAGAGTTGAGGGACGGAGCTTCTTCTAAACTTCTTCTCCGATTTTTATTTATCCATCCATCAAGTTAGAGGGGTGACTGCATTCAATTTCAATTTCATTCCAATTCATTTTTCACCGGTAAATTAAACCGCTCTTATCTATGGGATTTTAGGGTACATGAAAACTGTTGAGTCATCACCACATTGCGAGTCCCTTGTTCGCAAAAAATGAATCTATTCGCTTGAAATGCGCCATGCATGCTGTAGATATTCAGTAGATGTACATAATAAAGGGGTTTAGATGCAATAATGTTTGGATGCAGCCTAAGCGAACCCAACACACCATAAGAGACTCTTGAGACACAAGCACTTCAAGGCAGAAATTGATGCTCCCAGAATGTGCCGTGCAAGCTGCAGACATCTGCCAAGTATAGATAAAATTCTATTCATTGCAGAACTGAACAGAGGGTCATAATATAAAAAGTGATGACACCGCAAAGCAATTGCAACTATTACATCAAGCATAATTAACATATTGAGAAGAAATGTTACCCCAGAAGATAAAATCATATGACTCATAGCGTCATGAAAATCGAAGTTTGCGGGGTCGTATGAGAAAGAAGATTGTGATCTATGTGTGTTGTAGTGTTCGCCCATGGTACTGAGATCCTATTAAGATCGAACTACATGGAAAACTGGATTTCAAAAGAGTTTCACTTATTCTAATATTGGAGCATAAAATAGTTTTTGATTGTTAACTGCTGTTTTCGGCCGCAGATCAACTTGCTAAAGTTTCACAAGAATCGAGGTGTGGGTTCGAGTCCCGCTTGGGGCGAAAGTTTCGTTCATAACCCGGCATTCTTGTGGGAAAAACAAACGATGGCATTTGGCAGAAATAAACAATGGAGGGAATGTAGCCACGAACGGGAAAATGCCACTCAACGCTACAAGTGATATAAAATTAGTTGAAGGTGTGAAAACTGCGATTTCTGAAGAAACTTTTTTCACTCCTTTTTTGGCATTCAGAGGGCCGCTCAGAAAAAATGGAGCCTAGTTTTGTACTCCATGCATGTGCCCCTTTATCATGCAAAAAACCGTTTTCAAAAAGGGCTCCATGTCCTGAAAGGCTTTCCTGGCAACTTTCACGATGACTTCCTAAACCATCTTCAATCTCGCCATGGACAGTCAGAAGAGCCGTTCGATGGACTTGCTCTCGGAGCAGAAGAATGGTATGGACTGCTAAAGCCAGAACATTTTAGCCAATAATTTTCTGGCATACTTTTCACAGAAATTAACTAGAGTTCTTCTCAAATAGATCAAACGCAATGTGTTGAGAGCGTTCCGCGAACCACTAACAAAGCAGAAAAAGCAGACGATTCAGGCGAGTGAAGGAGATGGTGCACTCGGCAAAAGCGAATCTGCAAACCATCGTGCAGAGACCACGAAAAGTAAAAGTTCCGGATGGCTTTGTGAGAAGATGTATGGAATGTTGTCTAAAGTCGCCAGATTCGAATACAGATAGCGGGAGGACACGATCTCGAATTTCAACATTG